AAAATTAATTATTAAGAAAAAAAATTTTTTTTAAAAACCATGGACGGATAGAGCCCTAGGACAAATGGTGGAAGCAAGAGTATACAGACAAGATCTCACACAGAAGCATACAAGTACACATTCACAAAAAGACGAAAAGGGAAAAAAATCATAGATCTCGCTCCTAAATTCCACCTCTTCAATTTGGGATCATTCCTTGTCTATTCAGGTATTCCACAGATGCAGGGTATATCAAGTTGCTTGTGGAGCTTTAATCCGCTGCTTCTGAGGCTGCTGGGAGAGATTTCCCTTTCTCTTCTTTGTTCTCACAGCTCACAGGAGCTCAGCTTTGGATTTGGCCCTGCCTCTGCGTGTTGGTCGCTGGAGGGCGTCTGTGTTTTGCTCAGACAGGACGGGGTTAAAGGAGCCGCTGATTCGGGGGCTCCAGCTCACTCAGGCCGGGGGTGGGGGGGGGAAGGAGGGGCACTGCGTTCGGGGCGGGCCTGCGGCGTCAGAGGCGGCGTGACGTTGCGGCAGAGGCCGGCGTGACGTTGCACCAGCCTGAGGCCCGCCGTGCGTTCTCCCGGGGAAGTTGTCCCTGGATCCCGGGAACCTGGCAGTGGCGGGCTGCACAGGCTCCGCGGAAGAGGGGTGTGGAGAGTGACCTGTGCTCGCACACAGGCCCCTTGGTGGCGGCAGCAGCAGCCTTAGCTTCTCCCGCCCGTCTCTGGGGTCCGCGCTTTTAGCCGCGGCTCGCGCCCGTCTCTGGGGTCCGCGCTTTTAGCCGCAGCTCGCGTCCGTCTCTGGGGTTCGCGCTTTTAGCCGCGGCTCGCGGCCGTCTCTGGAGTTCCTTTAAGCAGCGCTCTTAAACCCCTCTCCTCGCGCACCAGGAAACAAAGAGGGAAGAAAAAGTCTCTTGCCTCTTCGGCAGGTGCAGGCTTTTCCCCGAACTCCCTCCCGGCTAGTCGTGGTGCACTAACCCCTTCAGGCTATGTTCAAGCCGCCAACCCCAGTCCTCTCCCTGCGCTCCGTCCAAAACCGAAACCCGAGCCTCAGCTCGCCGCCCCGCCCGCCCCGGCGGGTGAGCAGACAAGCCTCTCGGGCTGGTGAGTGCCGGTCGGCACCGATCCTCTGTGCGGGAATCTCCCCGCTTTGCCCTCCGCACCCGTCGCTGTGCACTACTCCGCGGTCCCGAAGCTCCCCCCTCCGCCTCCCACAGTCTCTGCCCGCGGAGGGGCTTCCTAGTGTGTGGAAACTTTTCCTCCTTCACAGCTCCCTCCCACTGGTGCAGGTGCCGTCCTTATTCTTTTGTCTCTGTTTTTTCTTTTTTTCTTTTGCCCTACCCAGGTACGTGGGGAGTTTCTTGCCTTTTGGGAGGTCTGAGGTCTTCTGCCAGCCTTCAGTAGGTGTTCTGTAGGAGTTGTTCCACGTGTAGATGTATTTCTGGTGTATCCATGGGGAGGAAGGCGATCTCCGCGTCTTACTCTTCCGCCATCTTCAAGGTCCCCTGGTTTATTTTTATGCATCTTTGACACTGAAATTTACTTCAAGTTGACATTATACCATTTTATATATAACCTTAGGGCCTTGCAATTATACATAATTGTAAGGGCCTTACAGTTATATATTATATATAATTATAATTGTATAATTCTGTTTGGCCTACATTCCATCCTTTGTGGTTTTATTGACATACGTTTACTTCTACATTTGCTGTCAACATCACAATATACTATTATTTTCCCTTTAAACTATGTATTGACATTTAAAGTGTTTAAGAAAAGAAAGAAAAATAGTCTTATATTTAGCCACCTATTTTCAACTTTGCTCACTCTTCATCCCTTCTTGTACACGAATGTTCCATCTGGAACCAGTTTCTTTAGACTGTAGACTTATTTAGAAATTATTTATTTATTTTATTTTATTTATTTTTTAGCTATGTTGGGTCTTTGTTGCTGCACATGGGCTTTCTCTAGTTGTGGTGAGCGGGGACTACTCTTTGTTGTGGTGCAGAGGCTTCTCACTGCAATGTCTTCTCTTGTTGCAGAGCACCGGGCTCTAAGTGCTCAGGCTCAGTAGTTGTGGCTTGCAGGCTCTAGAGCACAGCCTCAGTAGTTGTGGCATACAGGCTTAGCTGCTCTGCGGCTAAGATGTGGGATCTTCCTGGATCATGGCTCGAACCTGTGTCCCCTGCATTGGCAGGCAGATTCTTAATCACTGCACCACCAGGGAAGTCCTATTTAGCAATTCTTAACAGTGGAGGTCTGTAGGTAATAAATTATCACAGCTTTTGTTTCAGTGAAACAGTGCTTATTTTTCCTTCAAATTTGAAAGCCATTTTTGCTGGATGTAGAGTGCTAGGTTGAGAGTTTCCTACTTTTAGCATTTGTTGGTCTCCATTGTTCCCATGAGAAGTCGTCTGTCATTCACACTGTTGTTCAGTTGTTGTCTTCGGCAGTTGAGCTGGCTTTGAGTTGGTGGTAGCTTTAGTGCATCTAGCAGGGCCTTGGGATCCAAGCGTCTGGAGAGTAAGGTCTGTCTTTGCTTTTCATTCTGGACTACAACTTCTTGCATTGCTAAGCAATGATTGTCTTTGATGTTGTAGGAAGATGAACTGATGAACCTGGTGAGAGTTTCATTGCAGCTTCCTTTAAATTCAATCTTCTTCTAGCTTTATGTGTTTCGGAGGTGATTTTAGGCTACTAGCTCCAGGAGGGCTCTGGGACCATGCATCGCACACTTTGAAATCTCGTAACTTTGAGACCTTGGGTTTGCTTGAATGTGAGCTTATAAGACTACAAAACTGCAAATAACATGACTCTGGAATAGTATGACTTAGAGACTGTGAGATGTTGAGATTGCAAGATTGAAAGATAGAGTCAGAAAGAATAAGTCATTTGTCCAGTGTTACAAAGTCACGCCAGGTTGCTGCCCCTTTGGATGAAAATCCAGGATTTCCTCTTCAGAGCACACAGAACCTGAGTTAAGAAATCCTACAAAGGATTTCCAGCTCCCAAAATAAACCTTTTTATCTAGAATTATGCAATCAGGATTTCAATATCAGTTTAAGATATATTCAGTCTACAAATCATATAGAACCCAAGACAGGTGCCCCCATTACCCTCAGTGTGAATAAAGGCCTGTTTAAAATTCAGTTTCTATAAGTGATGCAGCAAACACAGGGCCTTTACATGCTTGGGGAGTGGGTTGTAGCAAGCACAATTAACAGGGAATCCAGAGAACTGAACGGAAGTCTCCCAAGTTAGTCTGTAGAAAAACATGAAATACCTTCAGTGTGTCTAAAAGAGTGAAAAACTACCAGAAATTCTGGCCACGCCCCAAACTCATATTTCAAAGAAGTGCATTTTGAAAAGAGCTACACTCTACAAGGAAGAGGCCTTCCTAGGTGGGCAAGGGATTGAGGAGGTTTTATATCTTCACATGTTGCTAAAATTGGAACAGGACATGTGGAAGATAAACCTGCTAAATAGAGCCATTCTTTTCTGGATTGAGACAACGTCCAAACCTTTGACAAATCTACAGACAAGAATGTTGGATTTGAATCTCAAGGAATTCTTCTCCTCCAAGTCCTTCTCTTGCACCAGAGTTTTGGTGCAAAGTAGAAAGTGAGCTTCTCCCTTCTTCATAAGCCACCATGTGATATATAACAGTGATTTTATTAATTGAAGAATATCAGAGTTATTAGCCAGTGGGTGTGTTGTGTCCAGCAGAAATGTCAGATTGTTCAAAGTACCCTAGATTCACAGATGTTATGAGGAGATAATCAAGGTTGAGGTTTGGATCATTGAAATGGATTCCATTCCATACATACATCCTTTACTTGCTGTTCTCTTTGGCCATTTGAGAAACCAATGGATCTTCTTTTTATTGTTTGGTATTGATATGACATTAGCGTGCAGGTTTTATCTGTGAATATTTGAGTCAGAAAAGAAGGTAGATGATAGATCATTCATAATGAAGCAGGCAAATCAATGTGCTAACTCACATCCTACCTTAAAGATTAGGTACAGTTGGGCTGATGAGAAAGTTCTGGGGATGGATAGTGGTGATGGTTGCACAATAATGTGAATGTACTTTATACCACTGAACTATATACTTTAAAATGGTTAAAATGGTAAATTTTATTTTATGCATATTTTACCTCAGTGGGGGGAAAAAAAGATTAGGTTTGAGATTTTGGATTCCATCTGCAGAAAAAGTTCTACTCCAGAAATCATTCATCCAAATGAAGACTAGGAGGCATAATTTTCGTGTGCCAAATATCTCCCATGCTGTGTATGCCTTTGCTTAAACTTCACAAGGAAATGTGAATATAAATTACATAAAAATCAGAGCCTCCTGTTCTCCCTCATGGAGCAATTAACAACGGAATAGTTGAAAAGTGTGTGACTGTAGAAAAACCATAGGCTTTGGAATAAGACAACTTTGGAATTGAATCATAGACTAATTACTGACCAATTAGATGATTTGAAGATTTCTTTTTCCTCCTCCTTTCTCTATCTCTAGGCTTCAGATTTCTTTTTAATCTGTAAAACAGTAATAATGATAAAGGAAAGTGCTTAGTGTACTGACTGGCTTCAATTAATGGTAACAATTACTTCTGTGAAAGCCTCTCCTTCTAAGAGGAGATTTTTCAGTTATCTTCCATACTGCAGTGATTATGAACATTAGGAGTATCAGAACTTCACTGTGTTATTTACTTCGTATAGCTTTTAGATGTCATGTCTTATGACTTACTAAGATTGACTTATTTATAGAATGTGGAGGAGGGAGTTTCTTAAAGAATAATGTACAGTATCTCTGAAAAAAAAATACTGTATAGGACATAATGCAGAATTTTCACCAGAGTCAGATTTCATTTGTAAGATCTGAGAAGTTGAAGATATTCTCTAAAAGTTTATGGAGCGACATAGGTGGGTTTCCACATATGGTCCTTGAACTCACGTGAAGGTGCTGCCATGGTGTCGCAGACCTCACCTGGCCTCCTTTTCTCCCCACAGACCTTTGCAGGAAACATGAACGCTGACAGCGTGATGCACCACAAGTTACTGCACTCTGTGAGAGCCCGGTTCGTTCGCTTTGTGCCCCTGGAGTGGAATCCAAGTGGAAAGATCGGCATGAGGGTTGAGGTCTATGGATGCTCCTATAGTAAGTACCCACATGGATTATCAACACGTGTGTGTTGGCGAGTGACATGACCCTAGCTGTATCACGGTTACTGACATTGAGAATGCAATCTCAATCGTTTTAAAGTTATTTCTACACTTTAATGACTTATGCATATTTGAAACTGTGAAATTCAACCCAGAGGTAGAAAAACTATTTTTTTAAAATCTGTACAAGATTTATTTCATTAACCACAATGTTTAAGAGTGATGCTATACCCCCTAATACAGAAGGAGTGATTCAAAATCCATTGAGTTAAAGGTCAGAGACAAAGTCAGTGGCTTTGAATCCCCAGTCAGTAAGAGTTAGAAAGCCTTTTCACTTGCCTTGGAATGATGACACATAACATCAGTAGATCGTTGTTTTCAGAGATGGTACTTATTTTAAAGGTTGGCCTTAAGCTTCAGTAACAGTGTCATCTCATATCCTTTGTAGTCACAGCTGCACCCTAACCCGACTGCTTTGTTTTCTGTGGGGCAGAGAGCAAAATCTACTAGTTCTTAGGTTATTTAGGGATGAAGTAACTTGGTGGTGAGAAGATGCTATGGGTTTATCAAAACAAAATGTTCAAAATGAAGAGCTCTTGGAGTTTGAGATACCATTTGCCTTTGCAATACTAAAATAATTTAAGTTTAGTTCTTTCCTAGAAGTGCGGTGAAGTATTATAAAACTCTCCCCTTCCTTGTTCTAGAAGGGAAAGAGAAGAAACATTTCAACCCAGGGTAACACATGAAATGCTTCTGTCTTAGAATTATGCAGGCCCTCCATCCCTCTGTGAGTTGTTCTGGCTGAATTTAAAAGTAGAGCTCCATCCTGCAGACAAGGAAGCTTGTAAACACCGGTAGAACTGGCAATCACTCTAGAATAAAATTATGCAGGGAAGTTTCCCATCCCTGTAACTCTTCTCTGCAGGTTTTATGTTGAGATCGAAAATTGCATCATAATAAATTGTTTTTCTGTCTTAGCAGGGACGTCTCCTGCTTATAATGCTAAAACCCAATGACCCCTCATGAATGAACAAATTTGATTACTACCACTTTAATATAAATTAGTCCAAGAGATCCCTGTTTATGGTTACAGGAGTGCCTAATGTGTCATACACTTGTACTGTTTTCCATAGTGTGATCTACTGGAGGCTCACATCAGGATCAACTGAGTGCTCCTTAAAAATGCACTTCCTGAGTCCTGTCCCATACATACTGGATTGTGATTTCTGGGGAGAGGGACCCAGAAAGCTGAGTGTTAGCAAGCGCCTCAGGGAAACTATGGACATAGAGTTTCTACTAGAAATAAAGTCCTGCACAGAGGGGAATGACCTGTGAAAAGGTTGTCTTTATCTTGAACAAGTACTTTCAGAAAGAATGTGTTTTAGAACAGATGCTCCAACAAACCACTAGACCAAGGAGAGACTGCCTTGCACTCCAGCCCTTCTATCCAAAAGCATAGCCATCTACAAGGCAAGGGCGTGTGTGCTTCCTAACCCAGGATCTGTGGGGCAGCCAGATTCCCATGCTACCTCTTCTCTTGATAACAGTTGTCACTACTAACGTTACCGAATGCAAGTTCCTGTGCCCAATGCACAGTGCGGCCAAACAAACAGAAACATTGGAGTTTGGAGCAGAGAAAAGTTTATTGCAGGGCCGAGCAAGAAGAACAGGTGGCTTGTGCCCAAAAAACTCCCAAAACTCCTCAAACGGTTTCAGTAAAGCATTTTTAAAGGCAAGATGAGGGAGGGGCATGGTTGGTTGTTGCAGATTTCTTGGTGTCAGAATCCTTTGTTCTTGCAGCTGTCCACATAGGTCACATCATGATGTTCTTGTAAACCTCCAACAAGACAAATGTTATTCTCTGTTCTGCAACTTTTTATCTTTAAAAGAGTGGAAAAGTGTTATTCCCTTAAAGGTCAGAACATTGAGAATGGGCTGTGCTGAATATTTCAGGCTATAGACAACATTCTTAACTTGAAGCAAAAGCAATAGAATACAAAGGTTAAAAGAAACAGATCTAATATGGAGTCAGATTTGTTCTTCCCTATTACACTAGGAGGTTTATTTTTACGTACAACGTGAAGCATTCATGCTGAAATAATAAGTGTATTTATATTATTACTTCAGCCATCTATTTTGGTGTGATAATCCTATTTCTCTTTAACATGTCCTCCTACATTTGTTTTCTCTGTCCTGGCAGTTGTCCTTGTTTTCAATGCCCATAGCTCTGCATGCTTGCACAGAAAGACTCATAGTGTCAAGTTAAATAATAGACTGTAGGGTAGAGAAAGACCTTTGAGCAACATGTTTAGATTTTTCTGATGATGGACCCCTTTGAGAATCTGATGACAGTGAGGAACCATCACTTAAGAAAAGTGCCTACTGTAATATGCAAAATTTTCTACAAGATTAAAAGGTTGGGCTTCCCTGGTGGCGCAGTGGTTGAGAGTCTGCCTGCCGATACAGGGGACACGGGTTCATGCCCCGGTCCGGGAAGATCCCACATGCCACAGAACGGCTGGGCCCGTGAGCCATGGCCACTGAGCCTGTGCTCCGCAACGGAAGAGGCCACAACAGTGAGAGGCCTGCATAACACACACACACACACACACACACACAAAAAGGTTCTCAGATCTGCTAAAGCCCAGATATTGACCAAGCAAAGGGCTCCTGAAATTGAGGTAGCTTTGTCCTACATGGAATCCTCTCCAGGAAAGTTCTGCATCTAATAAGTGCATCCTCTAAGGAGATGAATTACCTTCAGGTAAACAGTGTGAGTGATGGGAAGTTAACCCCCTTGGGAAGCTGTTGGACACAGAACACCCTTTTCTGGGATGATCTTCCAGCTGGTACTCTATAATCTTCAATCACTAGTCCTTGGGCTTTGTGCTTTTCCTTTGGGAAAAAAGAACACATCCCTCTCTCTCAGGTTGTATATAAAACCAAAACCTCAGCGTGTCTTCTGGATCAAAAATTCCCTTTCAACATCATCTTATCCCCCTTTTTTACTGGTTCATTCTGATAAACATAAAACTTTCCTGCATAAGCCATAAAACAAAACAACTACAAAAGCCTGATGGTTCTCTTTATCTACCTTTCTCCTCTCCCCTCTTCCTCACAGAATAGCTTCTCCCCAAAAGTTGTCTTTAGTTACTGTTTCCACTTCTCCATTCCCTTCCCAATGCAGCTGTTTCCAATCAGTCTTTAGACATGTGGTGGTCAGTTTCATGTGTTAACTTGGGATGCTCTAGTCCCAGTGATTCAGCCAGACGCCAATCCTGGTGTTGCTGTGATGGGCTTATTTTAACATCTACATCATTTGACCTTAAGTGAAGGAGATTACGCTTGATAGTCTGTGGGTCTGATGAAGTCAGTTGAGAGGTTTTAAGATCAGAGCTGAATTTTTTCCCTGGAGGCAGAAGAATTCCTGCCTGGGGACTACAGTTTCACCTCCTGCCAGAGAGCTTCCAGCCCACCCCTCCTGACAGCCTTCCCTTATGGGGGATTTCAGACTTGCCTCACCAACCCATACAGTCACATAAGCCAGTTCCTTGCAGTGAATCGACCTGTGTACAGAGCCTGCTGGTTCTATGCCTCTGGGGGGGACCCTGACTCATGCAGACTGCTCTACAGAAACTAGCTTAGTCAAGTCCACCAGTGACCTCCACGTAGCTAAAATCCAGTGGTCACTTTTCTCATTTCACTCACCTCTCAGTAGGATTTGGTTCAATTAGATATTTCCATTTTTTAAAAACCACCTTTCTCTTTTATCTTTCTCTGTTCATTCTCAGGACTCTGTCTCAGGACTTCTACTTTCTTTTTTAAAAAATTTATTGAAGTTTAGTTGATTCACAATGTTGTGTTAGTCAGGTGTACAGCAAAGTGATTAATATATATATATATACACACACATACATATATATATATATATATATATATGCGTGTGCAAGTTTGTGTGTGTGTATGTTATTTTTCAGAATCTTTTCCCTTATAGATTATTACTCAAAGTATTGCATATAGTTCCTTGTGCTATCAGTAGGTCCTTGTTGGTTATCTATTTTATATATAGTCGTGTGTATCTGTTAATCCCAAACTCCTAATTTATCCCTCCCCCCTTTTCCCCTTTGGCAACCATAAGTATTTTTCTATGTCTGTGTGTCTATTTCTGTCTTATATATAAGTTCATTTGCATCATTTGAAAAATATCCCATATATAAGCGTTATCATGTGTTATTTGTCTTTCTCTGTCTGGCTTACCTCATTTAGTATGATAATCTCTAGGTTCATCCATGTTGCTGCAAACGTCATTATCTCATTCTTTTTATTGGCTGAGTAGTATTCCATTGTGTATATACACCACATCTTCCTTATCTGTTCATCTGTTGATGGACACTTAGGTTGCTTCCATGTCCTGGCTATTGCAAATAGTGCTGCTATGAACACTGGGGTGCATGCATTGTTTTGAATTATGGTTTTCTCCAAAGACTTCTACTTTCCATCCACCCCCGGCCCCCACCAGTGCCCAGCTAAATTCACAGGCTTCCATGAACTCAAATGCCATCCATATACTGATCACCTCCACATCTGTATCTCCTGGCCTGACCCCTGGAATTATATATGCAATAAGTTCGCTGTCTCCACTTGGAAATCTAATAAATATCTCAAGTTTATTACAGCATAAATAGAACCCTGGATTACCATTCTCTCAACAACTTGCTTTTCCACATCTCCCGTCTCAATAAATGGCATGATTCAGCCATTTGCTAGAATAGAAACCTAGGAAGCAGCCTCGATTTCTCCTTTCCCAGAATCTCTACTCCTCGCTCTGCATCTATGGTTCATAGCAGCCCTCCCAGTTCCTTCTTTCAAAACACATTCTAAATCCATGCACTGGTCCTGCTTCCCTGAGTAACTGCACCTGTCAGTCCTCACCTGGAGCATTTAAATAGACTCCATCCTGGTCATGCCAGTATCTCCACAAACCTGTTTTTCATG